TCCTGTCGCTTTGTCAGAACACACTAAGAACAATGTACATTATGATTGCCAACCTCCAAGATTCTTCTAGCACACAATAGATTCCAGCCTTAAGATTTTTAAATTTAGAAGCTTTTTCAAAAAACGTGTTTGTACATTTTCTTACCTATACTCATTAGCATAGGAAGAACTTGCATGAATTTGTAGTTGCAATAGCCAACCCTGGGGGCATAGCATATGCCAAGCACTGTTTTATATTGTATTTACTACTTGCAGCAATCTTTCCATGTTCAAGTGTTGCTGTCATGTTCATCTTATAGATGGGACAACTGAATTTCAGACACACAGCCAGAAACGAACTTCAAGTCAAGCTGTCTAGCTCCATAGCCCACGCGGAGTGCCCTACACTCCCCTGCTTCTGTGGTTGCTCAAAATGAGAATTTCACTGATTTTGTTGCGTAGGTTCCTTGGTTTTCTTCAAGGTGACAGTATCACTGGCATGAGGATGGGATAAGTCATAGTTGTGTGGGACAGTGGGTCCCACAGCTTGTAGAGGTGTTTGTACTTGGTGACTGTCCCTGAGTGTGAAGCTCAGTCCTTATTGCCCTTTACCATTGAGACACAGGAAATGCTAATTCACTTCTTGACATGTCTCCCAGCTGAATGTCTCCAGGTGAGAACCAAGGGAGAAGTTTGCATCAAGAAGGAAAAAAAAAAAAGAATGTAAAAATACGCGCATCATCTGTCAATCTATCCATCCACTTACTCGGCTTTCTCAACGTTTTGTACATTTTAAATAAATTTATAACTTTTACAAATGTTTCAACTTTAAAGCACATCAATGACATTCAGTAGTTTTCAGGTGTGCCTGGGATGCTCTTTCTCATGTGTGAGGCTAAATGATCTTGGATAGTCTAATGCTCACTATAAAGAATACAAACTCTACTGTTTACCAAGAGCCCAGCAGATTTTCTTTTTTTATAGTGCAAAGGTAAACTTGGATCCAGCCTGTGCCAATCCTCAAAGTCATAATCTGAAAGTCATGAGGTTTTTCCTGTTTATTTTTGGCTCTCATACTTGAGAACATTACACAAATGCCCATCGTCCTTTCTCAAGGAGACCGAATAGACCAAGAATGAATCCTCCCATCATGCTTTCTAGACTGAGCTAGCCCCCTTCAGTAGACTGTAGACTTGAAGCTGAATCTCCAAGGTCATCACAGAACGCTATCACCTCATGAGGCCGAAATGTGGGCTTCCATAGCTCTATTTTAAGTGACTGCTCCCTCAAGAGCTCTGCAGCTACACAGGGAGCTCGCACTAGAAGGGATGCAGTCACTCAGGGAGGAAAAATGGGCAATTACAAGACATATCCTGAAATAGAAACATCTAGAAACTGTTCTCCTGTTTTGTTCACTTATTAAAAGAGTCTGCCAGTCTTAAACGTCCAGATAATTTTACAATGTCTTAGGAGTTATCAGTACCGAGGTAACAGTAGGCTCTGTCCTCTACTGCCTGTAATAACACATCTGTTCTACAGTGTCCTGCCAGAGCTGGGATAATACAGCAGATGAGGTCCCTTGATGTCCCCAAGTACTTCAAATTTAGGTCTCTTATTATTAGAACAATTTAAGGGCATAGAGATTTTTTTTTAAAAAGCATTTCCCTTTGAGTGCCACACACCTCGCAGCATAACAAAATGTTTGAAATACACATTACAAATCAGACAGTGGAAAGTAACTCACACAAAAAATGTTTTAATAGTTTCTTAAGAATTGACTAGTTGAAATTGTTTGTGATACAGTTTTAGAGCTGAGAAAATAAGGTAAGACCTGTTTTAGAAAGGGACTACCCGTATTGTATGTACGCATTATTGTTTCAATTTTGCATTGCCCACCCCCAGGCTACACATTTTACCTATCCTTTCCTTGGGTAATGGTTAAGGATGACTAAGCAAAATGGCATTACTAGCACTTTCCAGGCCCTTTGTGAGAAGAAATACGGCAGGAATGTGCAGCTAGATTTGTGGTGGCTTCCTGCCAGGGGGAGTTTGTCTAGTCTGATCTGTGGAAAGAAGAAAACCATTGGATCTGAGTACATACAAGGTCTCCTTTTTGTCATTGTTGCTGGTTTTGGTTTTTGTTTTTTGTTTTTTTTTTCAAGGCAGGGTCTCTCTGTGTAGCCTGGAACTCACTCTGTAGACCAGACTAGCCTCAAACTCAGAGATCCACCTGCCTCTGCCTCTCAAGTGCTGGGATTAAAGGTGTGTGCCACCACACCTGGATAGGTTTCATATTCATTATGAAAGTGAAAATGGTATTCTTTAAAGCATAAAAGATTCTTGCAGAATGCCTTAGAAGAAAATTGAAAAGCGGTTTAGCTTATTTTTTTTTTATCTGCAAAAAGATTGAATATTTAAAGGGAGATGATGAGTAACAGCAAAGAATGAAATGTTTGGCCCAGGGGTGGTGGCGTACGTCTTTAATCCCAATACTTGGGAAGCAAGGGCAGGTGAATCTCTGTGAGTTTGGGGCCAGCCTGGTCCTACATAGTGAGTTCCAGGGCAGCCTTGGCTATATAATGAAATACTGTCTTTGAAAAAAAAAGTGAAATATTCAGGGAAAAGCTCAGTGTGTGTGTGTGTGTATGTGTGTGTGTGCCTGCCGCGCGTGCATGTGTGTATTGCAAAGTGAAGGTACTACCCTCGAAAGTATAGATGAACTAGGGCAGGTTTGTGAAATAATTCATATGATCTAGCCATTGGCTAAATCAACAAGTGTCTGTGCAGATATTATAACAACAATCTAGTCAGTACTGGAATTAAGAATTAACCAAGTGCTCCTCTTAAGTGGTTTTCCGATCAGGTCTTGAGTGAGAAGAGTTCAGTTGACAAGGAGGATGCTGAGGATGGCAAGTGAGGATGCGGGGTGAGGATGATGCAGAAAGGACAGGTGCACATTTCAGGGAGGTTGTGGAAGATGCACAGTCCTTAGAAGCTACCACTCCGTCACACTTAGTGAGATGAGCGCACTTCTATTCATTTGCATGTGTTGGTCGGAAGGAGAAATGTTCCTCCTAGGCAGACATATTTGAACACTCAGTCCCCAGTGGGTGATCCTGTTTGTGGGGGTGATGGAACCTTTAGGAGATGGAGCCTTCCAGAGGAACTATGTCACTGGAGGTGGGCTTTGGGAGACTGTAACCTCACCCCATTCCCTGCTCACTCCCTACCTCCTGCTTCCTGTGTATGGATGAAAGTGTGATCAGTCAGCTCCTGCCTCCATGCCTTTCCCACCATGATAAACTCCATCCCTCTGGAACCATAATACAAAATAAACCTTTTTTCCCCCCTCAAATTGTTTTGGTCCTGGTATTTTATCACAGCATCAGAAAAAGTAACTACAAAAAAGCGGGGTTGCTGCTGTGAGGAACCTGACCGTGTTTTTCCTGAGGAATGTGCTTTGGAACTTTGGACTAGAAAAGCTGTTGAATGCTGTAAGCAGAGCTTAATAGGCCATCCTAGTTGGTGTCTATAAGGCAGTAGTGTTAAGGGTAAAGGAGGAGCCAGGCTTGGAGGCCTAGCTCATGATGTTTCAGAGGGAAACAAGACTCTTAGCAATTGGGCAAGAGGCCATTCATGTGCTATTTTAGCAGGAATACAGCTGCAGTCTGCCCATGTCCTGAGGCTTTTTGTGAGGGCCACAGTAATTCCTTTGGTTGAGGAAATGTCAAGGTTACTGAACACTGAGACTGAGGCACGGTCATTACTGATCACTCTTATTCAGATCTATGGTGAACAAAAGCAACCCATGAGGCAGATAGAAATGGAAAAATGTCCAGTTTGGAGAGGAAGAGAACACTAGCCAGATTAAGATCGCAGTAAATCATATGCAGAAAAAGAGGCTGTAATCATTAAAGAGATTAGCAGCATTAAAGGGGAGCTTCCTGTCCTGCCCTGAATAGAACAGGTTATAAGCAATAGAAAAGGTTCCCTGATGGCAAGCCTCCAACTTTTTAAAGCAACTGAAGCAAACAAAAGCTGTAACTGTGGTCCAAGGGGCCAGGGGCCAACCCAGGCTGGCGACCAACTTGGCAGTTTTGTCCCTGAAGTACTGGTTTTGGAGAGAAAGAGGACACAAGATGGAGGAGGACACATGCTCTTTCCCTGTGGTTTCAGAGAGCCACTGAGGCCTGGTAATGTGTGGCGGGGGAGATCCTGAGAAGTTACTGTGTGAAGCTCTGATAATGAAGGCTAAGTGTCAATAGAGACTCCAAGATGTTAGAGGTGCCAGAGCGTGAGACACGTGCCTAGGAGAGCTGCATAGAGCGGGTGGAACCGGTCTGACAGAGCTTATGTTGCTGGCAGAGAAGCTGGAGAGCCAGAGCTAGCTCAGCCCCTGGAAAGCGAAGCCCCAGACACCAACACATGGAGCTACAGAATTCAGGGTTTGCCCTGCTGGCTTTTCTTCAGTCATCTTTCCTCACTGCGGCCCATTGTTTCCTTTGGGAGCAGTCGTGTACGTCCTATGCCACTCTATGTTGGAAGTACGGAATTTGGTTTTTATTTTATTTTATTTTATTTTATAGGAAATCACAGTTAAAAAGATTGCCTTGAGTCTCAGAAGTTACTTGTGTACTTTTGAATATTGTTGAGATGGTTAAGACCATAGGGATTTTTTTTTCTCTTTTTTTTCGAGACAGGGTTTCTCTGTGTAGCTTTGCGCCTTTCCTGGATCTCGCTCTGTAGACCAGGCTGGCCTCGAACTCACAGAGATCCGCCTGCCTCTGCCTCCCGAGTGCTGGGATTAAAGGCGTGCGCCACCACCGCCCGGCTGGGAATTTTTTTTTTAACTACTTAAAAAAAATTTTTTTTTTTGAGACAGGGTTTCTCTGTGTACCCCTCCCTTGCTGTACTAGAACTCACTTTGTAGACCAGGTTGGTCTCGAACTCATAGATCCACCTCCCTCTGCCTCTCAAGTGTTGGACTTGAAGGTGTGTGCCACCACCGCCCAGCCAAAGACTTTCTTTTATTTGCATGTCTTTCCCGCTGAAGCTATCCCCATGCTGTAAGTTCCAGCTCCGTCACTTTCTTCTAGGATGACTCTTCCTTCTGTGCCACCTCTTCTTCTGGCTTTGGAACAGTTTATTCCTTCTCAGCGATGACCATCTCAGTGTCACAGGGGGAGCACATGCGTGCATTGATCCAGCCATGAGCTCTGTAAATTTGACAGCACATCTTAGGTGCGTTGTTCAGCTGGACGAAGGACTAGACAATCTACATCTAAACCCTGAAGTTCAGCATTACTCTTTCCATTTTTAAACATGTGCAGCAAAAAAAAAAAAAAAAAAAATCAGCACTTTGGGGGGCGAGCACCGACCCTGTGCCCATCCCCATGGTTTGGCCTGGTCATACCTACCAACTCCACTATTGTGCCACTGGAATGGCACACATTGCTTCTTTAAAGTCATGTCTCCCTGATACTTGGTGGCTTTTTGTACATGTATACCCAAATGGCCTGGTCAATTTTATAGGTGTTCCTGAAGTGAATATGAAGATTTGAACCTCTTGATTTGTATGATTTTGTTGGATTTTCTGGGTCAAAAGAAGAAGATCAAAGCATTCTCATAGGTCACTTCAGATTGCTTACAGGAAGAGGTACTATGGGGACCTTTGAAGCAGGACTAAATGGATTCTACATCATGAGATGGGCTTATTGTGGAGGCAAAGAGTGGGAAGTTGTGGTTTGAATGAGAAATGATTCCATAGCTCATGTACTTGAACACTTGGGCCCCAGTTGGTGGGCTGTTTGTGGAGCTATGGACCTTCAAGAACTGGAGCTTGGCTGGCGGACTTGTGTCAGTGGGGGTGGGCATTGAGGGCTTATAGTCTCCCCTCACTTCTTCCTTGCATGCATGGGTGTTTTCTCTCTCTCTCTCTCTCTCTCTCTGTCTTCTGTGTGTAGATGAAATGTGATCAGTCAGCTTCTGCTGCTGCCTTGATGTCTTTTCTGATCACTATCATACCTGCTTTGCCACAATGGACTCTGTCCCTCTTGAATCATGAGCCAACATAGACCCTTTCTTCCACAAGTTGCTTTGGTTATAGTATTGTATCACAGCAACATAAAAGTGGGAATAGAAAAAGATAATGCGTAGTACTACAAAAATTATGGAAGAAAATCATAGGAAACATAGGATATGAATGTGAAAGGAATACTGGAAAGCAGTCCTTACCTGGATTGTAAGGAATTTGTAGAAAAGTGGATAAAATCAAAGACGTGTATTTTATTTCAGTTATTTTAAATAGCTACCTAAATGAATTCTTCCTTATGAGTACACCTGACTTCAAAAGTGAGGGTGATAATGGTTAATGCTGATCCAGGTCCTCTGGGTCAGAAAAGGATGCATGCTGACTTACAGGGTGGCAGAGGGGTTGAGGGGTGGGGCTGAAAGAGCTGACACAAATTAATTAAAAACAATATTCTTCTTCCTGAGACAGGGTCTTGCTAGCTAGCCCAGGATGACCTCTAACTCTGAATCCTCCTGCCTCAGCCTCCTGAGTGTGGGGATTACAGGTGTGAACCACAATGCTTGGCTTAAATGAAACAATTTAAAGAAGGTCAAAGGTTATCTAAAAAAGGCTTGACTATAGATGATGGAGTAAATCTAGGTTAACAAAAACTAAGCATGAACAAGCTCAAAAGAAAAAAAAATATGTGACTTTCTAGGGGGACTGAGGTCTCTAAAATTGCAATTTGAATATATATAATTACATCCATGCAATTTGAATATACATGATTACACTCATTGGCTAATGAATCAAGTGTTTCCATCATTGTAGAGAAAAAAAAATGATAAACCTTATTCAAATGGAAAAATTTGGGATTGAACTTTGTAAACTGAAATCATCAATTATTCTTTCTTATTTATATTGACTAGGTTGTCTTGGGAAAGCAAATGTCAATCAAAATCACATCACATAGTTGGGAACACTAAAATTACAATGTATCTACCAGCAGCATCAGAGGCCCAAACTGCTGCAGGACATGCTAAGACATCAGCCACCTCCACCACACACTTTGGCAATCTGAGTCACAGCTCTGCAGCCCTTGAGGGGAACACAGCTTTTCTGAATGCATCCTTTCTGTGAGCTTTCCTTTATTGGGTTACTGACTACTCAGAATTAGAATAAAGATTAAGCATAATGATTTCTGTGTAGAAGGATTGCTTTCAATACCTAGAGTATTTTGCTACACACACACACACGCACACACACACATACACACACACTCCTTTTATACTGGGTTTACTTGAAAGATGATGGGTAAAGGTTTTACATTAACTAAGTTTTTGTCTGTTCATTTAACAGTATTTTCTCTGATTATATTCTAGGATGAAGAGATTAGGCCTTTTGTTTTATCCTAAGATTGACTCACATTTGTAACACTTATATGAGGCAGATGCTAGCTCTAGGTGTGTTTCACTATTTTTTTTTTTTTTTTTTTTTTTTGGTTTTTCGAGACAGGTTTTCTCTGTGTAGCTTTGCGCCTTTCCTGGAATTCACTCTGTAGACCAGGCTGACCTTGAACTCACAGAGATCCGCCTGGCTCTGCCTCCCAAGTGCTGGGATTAAAGGCGTGCGCCGCCGCCGCCGCCGCCGCCGCCGCCGCCGCCGCCGCCGCCGCCGCCGCCGCCACCACCACCACCACCCAGCCACTATTGATTTTTTTGAGTGCAGCGATCCAATCAGGGCCCCCAATGTGTTAGGAAGGCATTCTGCCACTGAGTTACATGCCTAACTCCAGGTGCTTAAAAATATCATGATCAGAATGTATTGTATGAACACAAATTCATTTAATAAAAAGATTTTTTATTTGCGTGTATAAGTGTGTGTCTGTGGGTGTGCACATGTGTGCGGATGCCCTTGGGGGCCAGAAAAGGGTACCAGGTCCCCTGGAGCTGGCTGTGAGTCACCTATCACAGGTGCTTGGAACTGAATTTGGGTTCTCTGGAAGAGCAGCAAGCGCTTTTAACACCGAGCCATCTTGCCAGTGATTTTTAGATCCATTAAATTGTTTTATTTCTGTAAAATAGTTCAAAGTGGTTACTTTTCTTATAAAATGCATATTTGTCCTTTCATTCATTTTATAAAATTAAGTACATTTTTGTAAAATTTCTGTCATTGTCACACTAGGCAGTAGCACATTACAAATTATTTCTTTTGACTCACAAAAATCCAGGGTCCCCACAGAGACAGTCTGTGAAGTTCAGGGTCTTTATTAAACAATATATAAATAACAGAAATAAATGTCACAAGCCAGAATATACCCTACTTAGGATAAAACACACAATTCGGTGACAATTAAAACAACAAATATTAGCAGTGGTGGCACATGCCTTTAATCCCAGCATTCGGGAGGCAGAGGCAGGCATGATCTCTGTGAGTTCAAGGCTAGCCTGGTCTACATAGTGAGTTCCAGGACAACCAGAGCTACATAATAAGTCCCTGTCTCAAAAAACGAAAACAAAAACCACAACTATTTTTCCAAATCATGAAACAGAAATAGGGCATTTGTACTGTACAAATTCAAGACAACACTCTTTCCCCATTCTTTGTTTTTGAAATAGGGCCTCACGTCTCCTATGCTGGGCTGCAGGCTACATCCTCTGTGTAGCGGAGGATGATCTTCACTTCTGGTCCCCCCACCTTGACCACCACATCTGGTTTCTGTGGTGCAGGGGAGCCAAACCAGGGCTTTGAGCATTCTAGGCAAGCATGGATAGTCTTACCTCCAACACCCTTTTACTGTTATCTAAATAAAAATAATAAAATGAAGTTTTAAAAAGTTCTGCACCAATAATTAAAAACCAACATTTTAAAAGCTTAGTAAAAATCTGTTTTCTTACTAAGTTATTTTATTACCATATTTGAATTTATTATCCATATGAAAAAATTTCATAATTATTAGAAAAGGAATCTTGGGTTGGTGAGATGGCTCAGTGAGTGTAGTCAGCTACACCCTGCTAAACCTGACAACCTTAATCTGTTCCCTGGGACCAACATGGTGGAAGGAGAGAACTGACTTGCAAGTATTCTTCTGACCTCTAAGTGCGCATGCCCTTTTCCCCCCATAATAAATACCAAATAAATGTAAAAAGAGAAGAAATCCAGAGATCCCGCCATTTGTTTAGTTCTCCAGCCACTATTCCGCACCTAGGGTGATCCAGGTATGGCACGTGATCCCTCTGCGACTTCAGTTAGTACCTGCCTGCTTCTTGCTCTCCCAGGCTCTTTGTCTTCCTCAGCCAAAAACTACCCTTCCCAGACTCCCTTGCAAGTGGAAGAAGCCATGCGACACAGCTGGCGCTCAGACCCAAGAAGAAATGAACAGGGGAAGGTCCAGAAACTTAATTCTAGGGAGGCAGCTTGACTGGCTTGCATCTTTTTATTCTTTCCATCACTTTTACCAAAGCAAACTTAGAGAACTAACTGGCTAACTGTGGACGGAGAAACCCACGTGGAGACTAGCTGAACAAGAAAGTAGAGGATTAATGCTCCTGATGACATCATGGAACAGAGTGGATGCATGGAGCGCTGACCGCTGGCCTCCCCTCTGACACACATTAGAAAAATAACCCGTTTTTCAGGTTTCTTGTTTATCAGTGAACTCTCAGCTGCTTCACCTGGGAGAAAATGTTGACCTTTGGTGTCTGGCAGTTGACAGGCAGGACAGGATAACTGATACATAGATACCAAAATAGCTTCTGATATGAATTCTTATGGCTTCCCAAACAAGCTAAAGAGCTTTATAAACATTCTTTTTATTTTATTTTTTTTTTGGTGTTTTCGAGACAGGGTTTCTCTGTGTGGTTTTGGTGCCTATCCTGGATCTCGCTCTGTAGACCAGGCTGGCCTCGAACTCACAGAGATCCACCTGGCTCTGCTTCCCAAGTGCTGGAATTAAAGGCATGCGCCACCACCGCCCGGCCACATTTTATTATTATTATTATTATTTCTTTAAAAAATTTTTTTAGATACCGTCTCATTGTGTATGTAGCCCTAGCTGGCCTAGAAGACCGGGCTAACCTTGAATTTAGCGATCCATCTGCTTCTGCCTTTCAAGTGCTGGGATTAAACATGTGCACCACACACCTATCCATTTCTCTCAATTTTATTTCAGTACATTTTAATTTTAGGCAAGTTTCTTTCAATCTA